TAAATATTAAGGATTTTTGTCCCAGCAATTTCGTATAGTACCTAATTTATTTAGATTTTACGCAACCTTTCTAGCAATTTTTCTTTCCAGTTTCTGTATTGCAAATTTTCTGGTTGAATGTCAAGTTTAAAAAACATATTTGTTTTCCATTTTGATTTTGTTAAAATAATGAAAACAAAGCTTAAAAATCTTTGCTGGTTTGGCCAAATATTCTAGATTTCATACTTATTTATAACAACTTTTTAAACCTATTAATTTGTAGTATATATTTGTTTAGAAGATACATTTTTGGCCATATTTTCCCTTAGTGTGTGCGATGGCCACTGCCGCAAAGTCTGTGTTACCCGGAATCGATCCGAAGCAGGAGCAGCGTAACTCGAGTCCTTATAACTTCACCCCACTGTGCATGTGCACATTTGCGAATGTGTGTATGTGTGTGTGTGTGTGTATTGTAGTAGAGAGTGTATTAGTGGAGGCCAGACCATGTTCCTATGCCTATGGCGTATCCTTACGCCTATGAATATGCCACGCGATGTGATTGTGAGTGCGAAAATGTGGCGACGCCAAAGGAAAGTTTGAAGGAAGGCAGGACCCGGGGTTTCAGCTTTGGTTTGGCTCGGTTCGGTTTGGTTTGGTTTAGTTTGGCTGCTGGCTTCAAAGCTTCTGGGCCAGGATGACGTAGTCCTCCGACTAAAGTGTGTTAGTATGCCTGCCCTTCCGACTTGGGGTTGCACACTCACACTCAAACACACACTCAAACACACACACACAGGCGCACCGAGGGTGCGAAGGGGCATTAAATGGTTCGTGTTTTTCTTTTTCCTTTTTCTTTTTTATATTTTTTTTTATTTCTGCCTCATCTTGCTCGTTTGTCGCTCATATTGGGGTCGCCTGACGGTTCATACTTTAAAAGCGCCATTTAGTCCACAGCCAGCTGAATTATTAAAAGCAAATCCAACACAAGCACACAGTCAGTTCATTAAATTCAATGTATGCAAAATAGCGGCAACAAATGCGGCAAAAGGCAATCTCAAGCCACCCCGCCACCCACACTACCATCCAGCTGTTGTCATTTTAGAGGTACCAGCCCAGAAAAAAAAATTTAGCAAGACAAGCTCATCATAATCATATGCTTCCTATATGCACTGAGAGAAAATAACAATTGAAGGCTGTGTAAAAATATAAGATTAATTGGTAATAGACAATATATTGCTCGGTTGGCCTCGTTGTTATTTCCCCACAATTGCATAGTATTTCAGCTACCATATTTTTAAACATCCGATTCTTTTCTTTTAATATAACAAACTCAACGTTATAGTTCTGCAAATCTCTTTAAGATCTCACTGCTATTAAAAGAAATCATGTTATATTTTTAATATATTTTTTAGAAATAATCACTATGTCTGAGCTTCGTATTCGTTGCATTTTTTGTTAAACGTATTATTTCGCTCAAAGTCAAATTTCTTTTATTTTACAAATTTTTATAACCACACGTTTTGTGATTTCATCACAATTTTCCTAATACAAAATATGAACGTTGCCTATTTTTAGGTATGTTAATTTTGCATGATTTCATATGTTAAACTTGGGAGTGTTTAGATTATATAGAACTGTTAATAATGTTTAACAAATCCGCCCACGAAACTCGAATTTTGTGTTTTTTCCTGTGTAGCAACTTTGCTGCGCAAATATGTTTCGCCAACTTCAATTTGTGCTCCAGGTAGTAAGCTTACAAGTGTGTGTGTGTGTTTAACGGGGCATGCCGCGTCCCTGTGTGTATGTGTGAGTGTGCGTTGGTTTTTTATGCGTCACGTGAGAATTTCCTTTATTATTATTTGACTTGGCTGGCTCTGTACATATCACGTATACGCAACGTATAGTTCGGCATTGATTTTTTTGATTTGCTTTCGATTTCGCCAACCCCCTTAATTTATTACATTGATTGCTTTTCACTTTTTTTTTAGGCATGGATACTTTCTGTAGTTTGTGCTTTTCTTTGCCCTGCTCAAGCAGAAAAATATTTGCTCGCCAGCTATTTTTTTTTTTTGTGTTTTCATTTTTTGTTTGTGCTTGTCACTTTTTGGCATTTCTTTTTTCTTGTTGCACGCTGTTCATCATCACAGTCACACACTCGCACTCGCACTCACACTCACACAGAGTAGAACGCACACACACTCACGCATACAGACGCGCGCGTAAAGAAATATACTACTAAAATAAAAATTGCTCACAATTTCCTTTGCTCTAGTTAGTTGTTGTTGTTGTTGTTGCTGCTGCTGCTGCCTCGCACTGTTTTTTTTTTTGCTTTGATTTTTTCTCGGAAAAGTTCACGACCACGCGCTTCAACGTCTGACCACGTTCTGAATTGAATTTTCCTCAGCCTTGATGGAAAATGCGAATATCGTTGGTGAAAAGTCTTGGGTTCACCAGCAGGCGGCAGCCGCTTTTCCGCTCACAGGACCTGCGCATTCGGGACCTGCAGGTGACACACTTTTCCGCGCCAACCGTCGCCGATGAAGTAGATTTTCCGACTCGTTCTTCGTCCTGCACTCCCTTTCACGTCCACAAACTTTACTATTTACATGGTACATCGGTTTAAGGCGGCAGGCAGTTTTCCTTCGTTTCCCTACTCTTTTTAGCACTATAGTTTGAAGTGAATTTCGCATGCATTGCCCGAAGGATGAGTACATGGAAAAAAATAAAACAATTTAGCTATGGTTAGTTGTAGTAAAGCCGGAAAGTAATTTAAAAGATGTGGTTTGATGTATACTATATTTTATATTATTTATTCAATTCTTTTGAAAACATTTTTGCTTAATGTTACAATAATATGATTCGTAATGTCAAAAAATTTCCATTAAATAATCTACCTATCTATTATATGTATGTTAATATTAAATTAATATAAAATTAATATAAAAAATATACATAAAGCTTTTATGTAAATTTACTGGTGATAATAGAATATTTTATGGCCTTGCTTAAATATATTGTGAAGAAAAAATAAATAAATAAATAAATGAAAAAGAAATATAAAATAATGTAAAGGTACAAGTAAATTACTTTTAGATAAACATTAAATGAGCGAAAACTTAATAATAAATAATATTGTGCCTTCTAATTTATAGGTATTTCTCCTTGTGTTTTTTACAGGACCTGGCGTGATGTGGCGCAAATGTCATTTTCAATGGCCGAATATTTTCGGGACGCTGCTGCCCAGTCCAGGGAGTCGAAAGTTCGCATTCGCCGCATCCATAATGAATGACATGTCCTTTTGGCCAGCCCCGTCTTTCGGTTAAGCTCTCCGGGTTAACTGACCTTTTGCAGTGCGGCTAACAAGAAATGCAAATAAAAGGCAATACCCAATTGTAAAGTTCAGCACTCTGTGTAATCTGGCAATATGCAATCTAAAATTATATTTATCGCATTCTCGAGCAAACACAATTTACAAAAAGTAAACAATTTAATTTTGTGCACACGAAAGTTGCTGATTTTGGCATTTTCCAATTTAAATATTAAACCGAACATTTTAATTAATGAAACGAGTTTTTAATTGTGTTTGCTCAAAGTGTGTGTGCGTGTTTTCGAGGGGCAAATCTAAGCAATAAAACCGTGTTTTTGCCAGTAACGGTTTTGCTTTATTTTTACATATATAAAATTTAAATTTTGTATGCCATTTGGTATGCTGTTTGAAGTGCATGAACAGGTGATTATAGAAACACAATTTAATTAGAATCAAACATTATTTAATATAAAACTATTATTCAAACAACATAACATTGTTTATTGCCAGTGTTAATATAATATTAATTTCATTTTATTTCATTTTCCTATTATTATATATTAATTGTTAAGTTGTAAGTTAAATTTATACGATTAAGATACATAACAAATAAGATTTAGATTATTTTTAAAACATTTCACATTTTGTTTTCTCAAATAAATGAGTTATGAATATTATCTAACCAACCAAAATTAAATTAAATCTGAAAAAAAATAAGGAAAACCATTTTTCAGCGAGAAACAGCGTTGGCGGAGCCCAGAAAGGAAACCACCGCCTGCAACTGCGAAATGCGAAACGCAGCGGAATCAAAAGAGGAAAACGCGAACCCCCAGAAACAAAAAACTGAGAAATAAACCCCAACGAAAACCAACTCAATTCAGCGAAATCAACGCCAACGGCAGCTGCCTGTCAATTAAAACATTAAAACGCGCTGAAAAATGCACTGAAAAGGCGCAAAATAAACAAACGACGAAACAGCACAACACAGGCAACATTTTCAGCGATTAGAAGCATAGAATTTCGCAATGGAGCACTTAGAGCTAGAGCTAAAGCTAGAGCTAAAGCTAGAGCTAGACTTCAACACCGAATCCGAATCGGCGACTCAGGGGAGGGACTAATGTGTGACCCAGTTTGGATCACGGTGCAGGAAAGGAACTATGTTTTGGCTATTTGCTTTTTGATCATTAAAAACTGGTTGCCCACAACCAGCTGAGCGCCGATGAACGTTTGCGGTTAGTTTAATAGCAGCAGCAGAACTGACCATAAATTAGTCGAAATAAATCATTAATGATTCACGACCTACGACCCACTAGCTAGCCAGCCATAGAGCAACTGCCAATGATGTATCTTCTTCATATATAAATTTTTCAAAAATAAACACAAAAAAGAGGAGTTTTAATTAAAGTTGATTGCAATTATATTCAACAATTGGTGCCCATAAAAAGATAAGATTATATTCCTTCTTTAAAATTTAAATAAACCCAATAAATAATAAATAGTTTACTTTTGGTTAAATATATTTTTATCATTGAGAAGCTATTATTCTGTCCTCAACTGTGTTTATCTCTCAGTTTTGAACGCCCATGTCCATGTCTTTGGCGGCAGCGAAGCGTTTGGCATTGCGGCGTGGCTTTATAAACGGCCGGCGATGGCGGCCGCGAGCCGAGTTTTGCCGTTAGATTAGCCGAGCGCGCGCGCATTTTCCCACGATCAGCAAATCGAAATTGCAGTCATGAAGGATCAATTGAAGTGGATAACCCTACAGCTGCTCCTCCTGATGGGCACTGCCACTGCCTTTCCGGATGGCGCCCCGGCGGACACGTGTGTGAAACAAAGGGCCAATCAGCCGAATCATGGCAAGGCCAGAAGTCAGCCGGCTCACTCCAATCCCTTCGAGGTGGTGGCCGACACCCAGACATATCACCCCGGCCAGCAGATATCGGTTGTGATATATCCGCACTCGCACCAGAGCACCGTCTTCCGGGGATTCTTCCTGCAGGCAAGGGATTCCAACTCAAACGAGTGGATCGGGGAGTGGGTGCAGAGCGAGAATACCAAGACCATTCCGGAGTGCTCCGCCATCACGCACTCGGACAATCGGGACAAACTGGGCGCCAAGCTGATCTGGAAGGCTCCGCAGAACAAGAAGGGCAATGTCTACTTCACGTAAGTCTAGAATTTTAAATAAAACTCAAATTAAAACTAAAGCTTAAGTGTGGAAACTAAGCTACAGAGAGGGTGTTCTCTACTTGAAAGACCAAGTGTTGACACAAAGAAAGTATATTTGTTCATAATTTAATAAACATATAAAAAAAGTATTTAAGTTTCTTAATTAACAAGTAGTAATAACATATAATTCAAGAGTTGATTAAGTTCCGCCTTAAGGCCATGTGAACTTTATCATAACTCAAGGTACAATTTCAAGAGTAAGTTAATTTAATAAAATGGTGTTTAACACCCATATTTTGGCAGTTTCAATGAAACACTTTGTCAAAACTGTCTTCGTAGAAATACAGTACGTGTCTTCTATCGCCCGTCACCATCATAATAACAATCATCATTATCATCAGAAGCGGCAGTAGAAGTAGTATAAGCCGTACTCCCATCACCGTGGGTCGTGAAGGGATTCATTAATCATACGCCACGTTGACCCACATAATGTAATGTGCGCATAATTGTCAGGCCGACAAAAACTTGCCGGATAATCGCACAAAAAAGGCATTATGTAATTGATTATTTGGAAAGAGCCAGGCGAAAAGAGTCTCCCAATCATTCGTCCACAAAAAAGGCATCAAACAGCAAAAGACGCCACGCACTGACAACGTCAAAAAGTCGAAGAAAAGTTGTCAATGCTTTTTGTGCGGCAACAGCAACATTGTCAGCAGTTAACACTGGCCAACATAAAGGAGTGCCAACTGTGAATTAAGCCAAACAGAAGTTTTAGTTCGGACACTTGTACCATTTATCATTTTACCAAACGAAAGTATGCAAATATGAGAATTAATCAAAAACAGAAAATGAAAGTTGGGAAACTTATTTTGCATAAACTTTAGTTCCTGAACATAAATCAATATTTTTCGTAAGGAAAATCAGGCTATGTTAAACACTTTAATGGAATTATAGTTGGTAATTAAAAATAGTAATTTTAACTGTGACAAGCAAGAGTTTTGCATACATTTTAAAAATGTAGTGGTATTGTCTTGCTAATCGTATATAAAAAGTTCAGTTTTGGGAACCTAACGAAAAAAATTATTACTCAATTATCTAACAACTTGATTGTGTGGAAAATTCAAATTACTTTCGTAAAAGCACTTCTTTTTGAAATCCCCTCAATCAATATTTATCTTATGCAGTCCAGTGTTGTCTTACCTAAAATATCATCTCCTGAAACTGTCGAATCATCAATTATTACCTATTTAAAGCCGCAGCTACACATCGCATGCAATCTTGCCGTATAAATTAAAAACAATCATGACTTGCCAAACTAGTGGAATTTACATTTACATTTCCATTTTTCTTTTGCAGGGGCACTGTGCTACAGGAGTACGGAACCTTTTGGAGCGACATCGTTAACAAAGTGCAGGCGGAGCCGCAATAACAGAAATTATGTACTTATTTATAAAGCAGCTGTACCCAACGCCGGGCAAATAAATCTTAAAACCCCTAATTAGTCAAAACGAAATTGTTGTTTGAAGATTTTTCAAATAGCATTCGGACGTCTTGGAGCCAAAAGCGCCCCATTGAGCTGTGCAATCAACATTACAGGGCAAAATTATTGACTTTTTGGCTTAACGTTTATGAATGACCAGCCCACATCCGAGCAAGCGAACCAGTTCCCACCGCCCATCGTTATACTCAGTACCCCAGTAACACCCACAAACAGCTAAAACACCCACCAACACCCACTTACACCCCGACAACACCCACAACCGCCCACTCTTAGACCAAAATCAAACGCACGAGCCGAGGACGTTTGGGTTTCCAGACACGTTGCCCAGCTTCTCATTGGAAATTCGTTTTGGGCGTTCGAGTAAATTGGAAACTTTAAGCACCTTTCATGCCGGCTGTGCAAGGCAGCGGCAGCGGCAGCGGCGGTGGTTATAAAGTAATTAGACGGTCACCGAATTTGGCCAAGACGTAGGCCAAGATAAGAATTCGTAGCATAGGTCTGAGCACTTCTGATTGCCCTGTTACAATCGCTTCTAATCGGACGAAGGGGATAGGAATCAATAGCAGATATGGGCAGTTATAAATGTGTTTGCAGAATTCTTAATCAGCAGCCGTTTTGGATTTCAAACAATATTTACCAGTTGTAAAAACTTGTTTGAGAGCCGCAATAGAAAGTAAAATTTAGGGATAATAGTAGAAGTTTTTTTCTTGTTACCCAGTCAAACCAATAGAAACTGTAAACTTAATTTTGATGAGGACAAGTTTTAACAACACTTTTTATATGAAGAGAATGATAAAATGATAGTTTCTTAAAATTGCACATTAAACAAATTATATTCTATCGAGTTCCTTTTTTATATTTTGTTATATATTTGAATATAGACATCCAAACATCCTCACCAAATATAAGTTATTTCCACAAATGCTTCTTAATAAGCCGGGTGATGTTAAAGCAAAACTTCCCTTGAAATCTGAATAAAAAAAGCAAATTGCAGCACATATTGGGGCTTGACTGTACAAATGCACTCACATATTTTGCTTGGAGCTTGTTTACTCGGTCGTCAACTTAGTCGTTCGGTTGTTATTGTCATTCCATCGAAAAGTGCATGGCAACCCACGCTGATTGGGGAAAATGGGGTAAAACAGGGGGCTTGGGTAGCATTTTGTTTTCGTGCGTATATGTATGTTCATTTGTATATTTGCGAATATAGTCGCCCTGCGGTTTGCCGACTTGTTTTGATCGAATTCGCCGCACCGCCGGTCTTTGTCTGGCTTCGTTGGTGGTTCATGAGCGGATTCCACAGTCGGGGGCTTGAGGTGAGATACCCTCTTTGGGAGTATTCCGCTCCTGAACGAACCAAGTTCGTTGTCCAGTCGGGCGAGTTTCAGTCTGTTTTTCAGCACGCGTTTTGTTTACCGCCCAGTGACTTGTTGCTGTTCTTTCCGCTGCCTTCGTCTCGTTTATCAGCAATTGCGAATACACTGGCTGCTCAACACTTTAGTTAACACTTAGCGGCTTTCCGGAGAGGTTCACAGATCGCAGACGCTCCACAACATCAAGATGGTTATCAATTTCGCCGCCGGTCCAGCCAAGTTGCCCGAAGAGGTCAGTAAAATTAGTTGGATTACTGCAACACTTTGCATTAACACGTGACGTACCCATCTGTAATATTAGAATACATTTTCATTAATTATTCTGAATAATAGAAGGTTATTACAGTGACTTGTTCGCTATTATACATGCACAATTTTAATTGCTTGCAAATTGCTTTTATTTTAATGAGAGCGCTTTTGGGACAACATAAAATATAAAAATTTGTTCACCATTCTTTCATTTTCGAAATATCAACGATACAAAAGTTAATGCTTACGATTTTTATTAATGTGCAAAATAAATATTGTTTTTCGTATACCTTTACTTTTTTCCATGTTTTAATTACTATATATTGCAAAGGCAATAAAATCCTTATCAAATAATCTTACTTTTATAAATATAATCGAAGTGCTGATAAATTATTATTATTATTTCAGATCTATTACCTTAGTTCTATAGTTGATTGACCCTCTATATAATATGTACTGATGTTAACCATCTCCAACACTTGCAGGTCCTTAAAGAAGTGCAGGATAACCTGCTCAACTGCAATGGCAGCGGCATCTCGGTCATGGAGATGTCCCATCGTTCCAGCAACTATGCCAAAATCCAGGAGGCGGCCATCAACGATCTTCGAGACCTCCTGAACGTGCCCAGCAACTATAAGATCCTGCTGATGCAAGGCGGTGGCACAGGACAGTTTGCAGCGGTGGCAATGAATTTAATTGGGAAAACTGGCAGTGCCGATTATGTAATCACCGGTTCTTGGTCCTCCAAGGCGGCCAAGGAGGCGGCTCAGTATGGCAATGTGAACACTGTGTTCCCAAAGTTGGCCAAATATACATCCGTTCCGCGGCAGGACACTTGGAAACTGGATCCCAAGGCCTCGTATGTCTACTATTGCGACAATGAAACCGTAGAGGGTGTGGAGTTTGACTTTGTGCCCGAGGTTCCAGCGGGTGTTCCACTGGTCGCTGATATGTCCTCCAATTTCCTGTCGCGCCCCGTGGATGTCTCCAAGTTTGGCGTGATCTATGCGGGAGCCCAGAAGAATGTTGGACCAGCCGGCGTCACGGTGATCATTGTCAGGGAGGACTTGATAGGCAAACATCTCAAGATCACGCCCTCCATCCTGAACTTTGAGCTGATGGACAAGAACAGCTCGCTGCTAAACACTCCGCCGACTTTTGGGTGGGTACAAATAGATTTAAATTTTCATGAAAAACCTTTGTTAAATGTTCTTCCTTGCAGCATCTATGTAATGGGCTTGGTCTTCAAGTGGATCAAGCGGAATGGAGGCGTCGCTGGCATGGCCAAGCTGGCTGCGGCCAAGTCAAAGCTTATTTACGATACCATTGAGCAGTCAAATGGTTTCTTCTACTGCCCATTGGATGCAAATGTGCGTTCTAGGATGAATGTGCCCTTTCGGATTGGCAGTGCCAGCGGGGATGATGCGCTGGAGAAGGAGTTCCTGACCAAGGCCGAGGCGGAGGGCATGATTCAGTTGAAGGGTCATCGCTCGGTTGGCGGCATTCGTGCATCCCTCTACAATGCGGTTACGCTGGAGGAGACCCAGCAGTTGGCCAATCTCATGCTGGCCTTTTACAAAAACAATAAAAACTAAGAGTGTTCCTTTGTAATTGGTTGGGTTTTGAGTTTACAAGAGACCTCGCTGGCGGAATATGTCGTCTAGACTAAGCTCCAATTTAGCATTCGTACCTCGCAGATTGTCCACCACCTGTTTGGCCCAAATGAAGTACTGCTCGCGACGTTCCTAAAAAGAAGGGGGATAGGTTTTAAAGGAGACTTTTAAGCGGTATGTCAACCTACGTCTGTCCATCCTGTTGGCGTGTTGATCTGCAGATCCCGCAGGTTATCCAGCTTGTCGGCCAGTTTTATTAGCTTTGCCCTGCAGCTGCTTGTAGCCGCATTTACTATTTGTAGTCGCTTACGTTCCTGTTTCTCCAATGACTTATCGTCGGTAACCTCGCGAACTAATCCACAGACATCCGGTCCAAATAGTTTCTCCACATCCTCGAAAGTTGCATCCGTATCCTCGACCACGTCATGCAGAAGGGCAGCCATGAGAACCGCCTCATCCGTGATGCCGGCCTCCACGGAAAGAATAGTGCTCACATTTATCACATGATTTACATAGGGGGTTTCCTTGGGATCCTTAAAATATGGAAACTATTCTGATAGTTTTGCCTTTTAATTGGGTAAATAGGGCTTACCTTGCGTCGCTGTTCGCGGTGTTTAAAAGCCGCATACTGCAGACACTCCATAAATTTCCGCGATGGACAAGTTGCCATTACAAACAAGATAAATAATTAAAGATTTTTAATTTACTTTGTTCAACTTTGTTTACGCATTTAACAGAACAGCTGTTTTTACATAAAAGACTGGCAATAACAGAACACATGCTAACTGCTACTGCAGCCCTGAACCACATATCGATAACATAACGATAACAACAGAGCGCGATTAATCATTAAATTCAAAAGCCTTTATTTGGTTCTACAACAACGATTATTCCTTCTTTTCGTTCTGGTTCTCGCACTTGTTGCACTCCTGCTCCTTGGCCTTGGACAAGGCTTCGGCGGCCTGCTCCGCTTCCTTCTTGGCTTGGGCCTCTAGTTCGGGAATAAAGAAGATCTTGCGAGACTTCAGCGAGGACCACTTGAAACGCTTGATGTAGTAGGAAATGCCGATCAAGAAGGCCGAAATAAGCGTAACCTTGATGAGCAGCAGGCGGCGTTCATCCGACTCCGGTTCCGAAGTCCACTTGAGGAAGACGCACACATCCTTGGCGATCTGGGCAGCCGAGGCCGGCACATTGGCATCCTCGAAGGTGATCACCTCATTGTCTACCGCTTTGGCCATGGCAATGGCTCCGCCGGAGAAGTACGGATTAAAGTAGAGACCTTCGCGCAGAGCAAAGCCCGCCGGAGGATCACAATATCCGGTGAGCAGCGCAAACACATAATCCTCGCCACCCTTGCGAGCCGACACTATATAGCTGAGATCCGGTGGATAGGAGCCATTGTTGGCCGAACGGGCTGCCTCCTCGTTGGCATAGGGAGCCGGAAAATGATCAGATAGCTTGCCCGGACGATCGAAGAACTCGCCCTCATCATTCGGCCCATCTCGCACGGTTATGGCCTCCGCCTCCGCCTTGGCCTCCGATTCCGTCATGCAGACGCCGACCAGATTGCGATAGGCCATGTACTGCAAGGAATGGCAGGAGGCGCACACCTCCTTGTACACAAAGTAACCGCGACGCACGCTCTCCTTGTCCAAGGCGGCCAGCAGGCCAGTGTGGTTCCAGTGCTGATGCGGCGGATGCACGCAGTCCGAGGAGGCATCCACACTGCTCTCCAGGGCGTAGATCAAGAGTCCCGCAGCTCCAGTTAGGGCTCCCAGGGCCCCCAGCCACTTGGAAGAATGTCGACCGGAAAAGCCGCCGCCCGGAAAACTCATCCGCGGACGCACCGATGTCCGGCTGAAGCTGCCATGGGTCAGCTGGAACAGTTTACCGCTCAGATTCCGGAATTTATTAGCCATTTCGGTCGGTTAATTCTCTAAGCTTTTTTGTTTAAAATGACAAGTATCACTTTCCGATTAAAATGTCAGCGTAATCAGTGTTGCAAAAGTTCAGTGTCCAGGGTTGTCACCACGTGGGGCATATACTGGCGAAATTACATAAATACAATTACCTGAAATAAATAATAAAACAAATAGACGTAGAATACAACATAGAATTACCCTCTAGAAGGACCCTCTACTCACTTATGGCAAAACAGTTGACTTGGTCCTTTGATGGTGAAAAATCATCATTTCGGGAAAAATATGTAAATGTTAGGGAAATATTGAAATGTGTAAAAGATTTTTAAGTGACATGTTCTACAAAGTTTACCAGAGCAATAATCAATCCCACAAACAATAATACACAATGAATTGTTCATTTAAGAAGCCTTTTGGAATAAGTATTGCCTTAGAAGAGAAAAATCTCGGATCTTAATGGCTAGTTTTACAATCTTAGAAATAAATCACTAACATAAGAACTACGTTGGCCGGAGTTCGATGGGCCCAGGATGCCTTTAAATCTTAAGCCCGACTTTCTGCCACGTTTAGACCAGATCAGTCAGTTCCTTATCTACCATCTTTCCCCATAAAGCATATGTAAACCAAAACCCACCCAAATTGCTGTTATTCTTTACAGCTAAAAGGTTGAGTCAACGTTTTTCTTTCTATTGTTGTAACCATCGCCTCCTTCTTGGTTTTTTTTTTTTTTTCCTGCCCAACGAGCGGAGCAACTGAAAAAACAAACGAAAAAAAATCAAATGCCAGGGCACTTTCATTTGTTATCTGGCGCAGTAATCTGTAAATCTGTAACAGCCCACCAAACAACGGTGCATACAATATTTCCTAGCCATTCTTCACACTGTGTGACCACGAAATCGTCAAAGTCAGGCCCAAAGCCAGGTTTTCCATAGCCAAGAAACATGGACGTGAACTTCGCAATATTTCAAGGGGATCACCAAACATGGTAAGCAATGGTAAGAGAAAATTATACCTTTAATTACATCTTTTTATTGCACAAATTATGTTTATAATGCGCACCGCCCTAAAAGATACTTTATACTTTAATTACCTCTGATTAGTTCAGAGTTCTAACTGATATATTTCAAAAAAAAACTAAATTTAAACTAGCTTCCAAAGCAGTTATGAAATACAAAAGCTTAATTGCTTCAGATAAATCGATATAAGATTCTAATGCTAACTTATATTTTATATATTAATAGAATTAATAGAATTTGATAGAAATAAATCTTAGTTTTATAAAAATTGTGTTAAATATATCTGGTTGGCAAAAGTGCGTAAAAGTTGAATAAAAAACAACAATATAACATAGATCTGTATAATGTAACTTATAGGTAGAACATATATAGTAAATCCCCCTCTGTACGCCCATGGCAACCAATAATGACAATGCAACGGCCGACGTCGGCAGAGTAGGCGATGTAAACTCTTTTTTTTTCTGTTTTTGGTGAAAATTTGTACCTGATTTTATATTTCCCTTTTTTGTTACACTGTTTTCTGCTGCTGTTGCTGTTGCTTTTTTTCAGTTATTACGTATTTCCATGTTTACCATATTTTACACGCGCTTACAGACACACAGATACAGATACAGATACAGATACAAAAATACAAAAATACCCTCGGATTTTTTTCCTATGTGCGTTTTAAGAGTTCTGCTTCTGCGCAGCGATGCATAATTCCCACTTTTGAAATTTGTGTGCGGCTGTTGTTGCTTTAGTTGTTAGTTGATGTTGTTGTTGTTGTTGTTGCTGTTGTTGTTGTCTTCTGCCGTGGTGGCTGATGTTGTTTTTGTTGTTCCAGTTGCCGCTGCGCAATTAATAATTCTTTTCGACTGGCGTGAAATTTTCATAAGCAAGAAAAAGCAGCAACAGCCAACCGCACCAACTTTCCATGAAAATCTCCGGCCATTAGTAGCAATCGCAGCGCTTTTCACCGTGGAAAACCGCAGAGATTGTGCTGTGCTGCGACCCCATAGAAATGGGCTCACGTCATGAATTTTATTCAAATTACAAACTCATTAATAAATGGCGTTGTTTACATTTAAGTAGAAAACAAACCAGCGATGATTGCTCAATTTCTGTAGTGTTAAAAAGGCTGGACAGGAAAATGATTAAAAAATATAAATGTCCATAAACAATTTCACATTATTATTTTAGGCTACATATACATTTTTCAAAGACGACTCTTATTAGATATTCAATTTTTAAAAGTAAAAAAAAGGAAGCTTGCATTCTTGCAGGGTTGTTATTATCCAGGATAAATATTATTTTCAAATTGCGATCGTTTAGGTGTTTTTGTGTTTTTGGTTGCATAAAATAAAATAATTTATAAGTGAACCTTTGTATTATATTTTAATGTATACTGAAAGGTATCTAAAATACATATTTTCGACTTCAGCGTTAAATACAAAGCCAAAGCCCATCTTTGTCCAAATCAGATGAAAAATGCAAGAGATATGACTTATCATCAACTGAATAATTATTCGTGAAAAAGATGGGCCTGCAAATAAAAATACCTGAATACGGCACAAAAAAGTGTGCATAATTTAGCAATAAATGTAAATATTACTGGTCCGCTTCCTTTGGGAGACAAAGCGCCATGCTGCTGCAGTTTCCTGTGGCCTCTTCTACCAGAAAAGATGATGATGATGATGATGATGATGCCAGAGGATCGTAATAACGATGAGGCTGTGCTGTGCTGTGCTGGCCATGTCCCACTCCTTATCTTGGCAGCACGAAAACCAGAAACAAGAATTATAGACCAAAAGCCAGTTGCAACGCGAGTGCATCTTGCATCTTTGCCACCGATCCCACGTAGGTGTGTGTTGCATTTATGTGTGTGTGTGTGTGTGTGTGATTGCGGGGGCACTGCATCGGTGTGTGTGTGTGTTGGCCATAGTATCTGTGTGAGTTGCGCCTTTTGACCAGAAGTGAATGCAATTGCGGTTGCATCTGCCGCAGTGCTGGTCAACGCTCGAAAAACCTAGCTTAGATTTACTAAACGGAAACGATTAAGCGATATATGTATGTATGCTTCAATTAAAATAAGTTAACATTTATAAGTTTAAAATAAACGTAATTAAAGCGTCTTGTAGATCCACGAATGAATAAATACACACCTTAAACCAAATACTTTTCTAAAAATAAACCAATAAATAAAAACTTGACATCGTAGAGGTTGTAGACAGGAGTAAAGCTTGTTATCAAAAGCATAGATTGAGGCGCTAAAAATGTCCCCTTTTTTAACGAAGTCTGATCTCGAATAAACCTTACGCTTGCTTCATTAAATTAAAAAATGAATTTGATATTCAACAGACGAGTGCATTGAATGCCCGAATCTCTTTGTTCATGATGAACATCTTTATTTTATGACGTATCTGAAAGATCGTTTTAACGCGTGCGCAGCTACCGTTGAACGCGTACAAAAATCTCATGCGAGAGAGGAAGTCCCAGTCTCTCTCTTCGAGTCCAACAGGTTCTCATTCTCGCTGCCCATTTACCACTCAATTTCGCAAAAACAAAAATAAAGCTATGCTCCCCTTATATACAACAACATCACGATTTGTGAGCGTGTATGGGTAAGGTGTATCTGTGTGTGCAGTCATGGTGTGTTTATGTGTAGCATGCGGTTTTGTTGGGGATTTTGTAAACTTTTTCGCAGTCGTCAGTCACCAAGAGTAAAGACATGGGGAAAGATACAGATAGCTGTTGGGTATATGGGGAGAAGAGGAGGGGAGGGAGTGAGGAGATGCCAACTTCATTATGAGGTTGTAACTGTCTTTTCAATTTCTCGTTCTGCCCGATTCGCTTTGCCAAATGGAGCCTAGAAGATGGATCCCTGTCTCCTCTCGGTTCTCCTCTTGATTCTTCTTCTCATACCTTCTCCTTCTCCTCCCCCTTTTGCCTCTGCCTTTCTTCTCTCCCCAAACCCACATACACACAATCGCGTCAATTGACGGCTTTGCGTGTGTGTGCCCGTTGATGTTGATGAGTTTTGTTTTAATTCTGCTTCTTGACTTCAATTTCTTATAAAGACTGTTTATATGCACGTAATACAGTGGAGCCCCCTTAAGTCGGACTCTAAAAACAAGAGCTTCTTAAGGGGTTTAAAATAGTTTGTAAATATTTTTTAAATTTAATTTTTAATTAAATTTTAGTGTTATTTTATCCGCAGTGGCATAAGAATTTTTTTGTAGGCAAAGAATTAGTTTACATCCAATATTTGGAGTTAAGTAATACAAAAAACAAAATTCAATCATTAATTATTTTAAAAAATATTTTAGCTTTAAAACTTTTCACGAAATTAAAAAAAAAAAAACCTAAAATCCCCAGTAAAGAAACACCCCTTAGAATCTGAAGTGCAGATTCTGTATTCGAATCTGTGCGATGGAGGCCACACTGTCTTTGTTGTTGCTGTGATTTGGTGAATCGCGCGTAGCCGATTGTAATTATTGTAATCGAGTCTCGAACCGATCCAATCCGATACGATACGATCGCAATAGCACACAGCCATTGCCATCGTTGTTTGGGAAGATCGTCCGCTATAGCTTGGTCTTCGCCTGATTTGATTCTGTTATAGCTGCTTTGATCATTTCGTAATAGTTTTCTCAGTGCTCTGCTTAAATCATCTTGGCCAAGACCGATCTGACCGCTCTTACCCATCCAATCCCGACCAATCCGCGACTCGTGATCGTTTCGCTTGAGCCGAGCCCGCGCTTTTCTCTTTGAAGCCAACGTCATCGTCATCGACAGTCCCAGTCATAAGCGCACAACAACAGCACTACAGCACTACAGCACTACAGCTACAGCACCAGTCATCATTGTTGTTGCCATAGTTGTCTTGGCCGTTTCTGTTTACTAAAAGTTGATTGACTGTCTGTTCATTTAGCCGCTTGTCCATGGCTCGCTCCGTTTGTTGGCTTTGTGTGCTCTCTGTGCTACATAGAGAAAAACTATAAATCTGAATAATAAATTGAATTTTTATAGTTCAAAGTAATGGTTTCTTTTGGATTAATTTTATACTTGCATTAACGTCTGAGACCTTACAATAAAGGGGGTAAATTGTACTCATATAAGGACATAAACCACTTTTTCCATAAAACGCATTAAGTAACAAAATTCAATACTTATAATGCTCATGTATTAACAATGTTTATGACCAATAAAACTGAAATCGACTTAGAGAAACTTTGACTTGGGGCATCGATCATACATAGCGCATTTATAATAATACATAACATATGTTATTTATAACTGTGCCCCAAGGACAATTTTGTAAATTAAAGTTGATTCCGAAATTGGT